AGGCTGGATGGACGAAAAAGGTAGGTTTTATCACCACATTGTTTATTCAGAGACGGAACTTTTCAAGCGAGCAACACAAACATGATTATAGGAACTTGAAACATGGTTCAAACGATTGTTTTGTAGTCATGGATAACACGTTACCGAGCACATGCTGTTAAGAACGTATGCGAATTTCTGTTTGTTTGCTTTTGCAGTAAATGTTTGCTTTTGATGTTGATCTTTTGAAGTTGATCAGTGTTCTAAAGCAGTATTCCTTTTTAATTCATACGAATAATGGATTGGATTATACACAATCTGTTACATCTCAGACCAAAAAGCCCTGCTCATGTGGGATATATAAGCTAAAATGTTCCTCATTTTTTTTTCCTGCTATAAGTACTTGAAGTAATCAGTATACCACCAGGTTACCTTCTCTCTTGCCACAAGGTGAATGTGTCCTTCGCTGTGTCTGTACATCCTGATAGAAGATACTGAGGCTACCAAAACATACATCTGAGCTATAACAGCCTTGTCTTCAATTAAAAGAACATCAGCTGGAAATAGCTGCATGACACCCTCTGAGTACTCGTGGTCATTTGACGGAGGCCGTATAAGAAACCGTTTTTTCAGAACCACCACAACGGCTCTTTTCAGAGCCACCCTGGTTCTTTTTAGAACCACCAGATCTAAAAAGGTTAATGACCAACAATTAGTGTTCTTTTCATGTCTTTGTAACTGTAAGTTCTGCTAAAGTTGTGATCTTAAGATCTTGTTGTGTGAAAATACTCGGTTATAAGACGCACCCCAAGTTTTGAGCAGATTTTGATCAAACAAGCATATTTTCTTGAAAAATGGTGCGCCTTATAAGCGAATAAATACAGTAGTCTCCAGCACAAAGTAAAACAGCAGGTTCCTCGATTCCACTGGAGGTAAACAATCAGGCTCAAAGTTCTTGCCCTCCATCAAGACTGGGTTGATTCCAATCTCTGATATTTTCTCAAGATAACATTGTTTGACCTTATTCTCTAACCTGTTTGCATAATCTGATAAGGGTATTACAGGTGAGGTTATCTTGGAATATTTACCCTCACTTAACTGCACATTACTCTCTCGAGGGCAGACCACAATTTTGAAATTTTGCGCGAAAAGTGGTCCACCAATATGGCAACCAGAAGTTTCATGATGTCATGTGCACACCATTTATACCCGGCCACTTTTGAACGTTACCAAATTGATTGCTCGGTAACCAGTCATAACGTCCTCACCAGTCATAACGTCCTCACCAGTCATAACGTCCTCACAAGTCATAACGTCCTCTGTGTGGTAGTTCCAAAATGTCCCCAGGTCAAGTACCAAAACGTCCCTGGGTCAAGTGCCAAAACGTTCCTGGGTGAACGCTGGTCAAAACTCTTACCCTGCATTGCATTTCGTAGGGGAAGTTGTAATGATTGAGCATTTAATATTGCACTCTATAGATCACTACCAGACTGGAGTATTAATTTCTCTTCCAAAATAAGTCAGTTTCTCAAATACTCGTCGCTTACTTTTTTTAACAAAACAAAACAAAACGAAAAACCTTGAATAAAGTATAGCAAATTGCATAACAAGAGTAATTGTTAAATTGTCTGTAATTTGATAAAGCAACCAAAATGGCTTGTCACCACCAGAAAGGTAGCCAGTTCGCTTGTGCAGAAATACTCGAGTATGATGTTCATTCTCATTAATTCCAATGCATCACTTCCCAAAACAACAAGAAATCAGATGTTCCACCGCATGTTTGTGAAGATAATTTATATCAGTGTTTAGATAGTAGTCCGTAGTACAAAGCAAGCAGCTTCATTTAAAGCAAGCTACAGAAAGCAGAGGCAAAATGTAAGTCTGTGGCATATCAAAACTCCACACTCCGTTTTCACACGAAAACACCTGTAGTTTCACTCACACTTGGCCAAATTCACAGCGTACGTCCAGAACACGTGGATTGAGGGCTCAGTTTGGACATTGAGAACTTCGTCCGTATTCAACGAAACTGCAAGGACCAACAACGACGTTGAAGGATGGCACGCGATACTGAATCGGCATGCCAAGGGGGCAAATCTGTCCTTCTAGAAGCTCATGCGTTTTCTTCAAGAACAGGCAGATTTTATCAATCTCCAGGTCTGTCTTCTTTCAGAACACAAACTGAAATGCCGACAACATAAGCAGTACAGACAGGCCCAGGGACAGCTTTTTTAACTGTGGGACGGCTACATCACTGGGAACAAGACCGCCAAGGAATTGATCAAAAGATGTTCACACATTATGGCGCCAACTTTGGACTAATTTGAATTAATTAACATAAAAGACACTTTAATTGTAAACTTGTGTTTTAATTTAGTAATATGTGTGAAAGTATTTTGCCATAGTTGATTTGAATCATTGTTATTTATGAATTGATCTTAAATAGAGTGTAAATAAAATTTATGAAGATTTCTTTGCCATACAGCGTGAATTCAGTCATATGGTATAAATGAGAAGGACTGTTGGTTTTAGATTTTGGTTACTTCAAAAAAATGCTAGTATAACTGGAAGAGTTAAATGGAATTTTGACCCTATGACATACTGACCAGGGGACGTTTTGGTCTCACCCGAGGACATTTTGAACTGAGGACGTTATGACCAGGGGACATTTTGACCGGTAACCGATTGCTCCCATGCTCCCGAAGTCGAAATAATTAAAAGAGAGGGCAGTTAAAGTAGTGCTCCCGTAGTCCCGTGCTCCCGAAGTTGAAGAATAATTAAAAGAGAGGTCAGTTAAACTAGTGCTCCCCACAGTCCCTTGCTCCCGATGTCAAAGAGTAATATTAAAAGACAACATAGCACCTTCAGGGGTGTCTCGCATGCAAGTGATGTAGCTCGTCCAGTTCAAACTTGATATCTAAACCCCATAACAAGTTAAAGCTTATAGGACTGGTTATCAGACTTACCAAAAATTTTGAAAAAAAATTAATTGTCGAATTTTTCATGACTCCTAAATGCGAGCGCCCGAATCACCTTTTAAGAGTTACAAGTCAAAGGGAATTTGTTTGATTGCTCTCAAATTTTTACAGTAGCTAGTTTTACGTGTAAACAATAAAAACTTGTCTCCCAATATTTTATATCTAGATACTTTTTTTTCAAGAGCGATTTTTGTACAATCACTCCACATTTTTTTAATCTTATTTTAAAAATGTTCTGTAACTTTTCACTGAAATTGAATATGGCAAATCACAGACATTCCTTGTTTTAGCGCTTTGGCCCCAGAAACAGAGAAACGCATTAAATAGGCAAAAAACAAAATTCGCTTTGACCATCAACTTTCAAAAGGTGATTCAGGCGCTTGCATTTAGAAGTCCTGAAAAATTAGACAATTTTTTCCAAAATTTTTGGTATAGTCTGATAGCCAGTCCTATAAACTTTAATTTGATATAGGGGTTTAGATATCTACAGTTTAAACCGGACACGCTACATTGCTTGCACACAAGACACCCCTGAAGGTGCACGGTAACCTTAAACTTATGTTCCAGTAGTCCCACACTCCCCATGTCAGTTCGATTTAAGTACGCAGATTATACATTTGAATTTGTCAGCTCACTCAACAGAAAATTCAAATTCCCAGACTTTTAATTCTTGAAAAGAAAAAAGTGATTTTTGAAAATCAATTTGGTTTTAAGGCTAAACACTCCACTGATCATGCTATACTTAGTATTGTTGATAGAATTCAAAGGGCAATTGATGATAGGGATTTTTCTTGTGGTATATCTTTAGATTTCAGTAAGGCATTTGATACCATAAAATCATGAGATATTGTTCAGAAAATTGGAGTTCTATGGTATACGTGGGATTGCAAACCAGTGGTTTAGTTCGTATCTTACAAATTGTTTACAAACCGTCACCATAAATGGTGTAACTTCTACCTCTGTCAATATTTCATGTGGTGTTCCTCAGAGGTCAGTCCTTGGACCAATTCTCTTCTTGTTATAATTATATTCATGACTTTCACCATTGCTCAAAATTTTTTGATTTCCATTTATTTGCTGATGATACTAATTTACTTTGCAAACATAAAAATCTCACTTTTCTACAGGCAAGTATTAATAATGAACTCTAATAATAATAATAAATAATAACTTTTATTTATATAGCACTCATATCTTAAATTCATGGCGCTTTACAACACTGTATAGGGGACTTTACCAGACTGTCAGTTTCTTCCCAGCTATTACTGTGATTTATTTCTTGCTCTACGCTTTTTCCTTTATTATAATTGTTTAGGATTTCATTTCTAATTTATACATATAGATATATATTTCTTTTTTTTTTTTCCATGACTTGTAAATTTGGTTTATTCATAATTATTTTTAGTTTAATTCTGTGTGTGTGTGTGTGTGTGTGTCTCCCGACCTTAATACTGTTACTCATTCTATGTAATTTGGCTTCCTAGCCTTGTTAACCTTCTAGTTATTTTAGGAGGCCAAAACTCGATCTCTTAATTTTAAATTTTATATGATGTTAAATTCAACCTTCCCAAGAATAATGGTGAATAAAGTTGTTGTTGTTGTTGTTGTTGTTGCAATCTGAATTTCGGTTTACTGAAGAACGAAGAATATATATTTAAATGTGTGTGTTCTATTTCATTTGGGGACTGCGGGAGTGCGGGGCAGCCATTTTAAGACGCGTATTAAGTGACCGGGTATTCTGAACTTTAGCCCCCTTTCCACCAAGAAACACCGTTTTAGTTAAGTCCTTAACTAGCGAACAAATTTCCCTCCACCCAAAGAAAAGAGGGAAAAGAAAAATTCAACTTACCCATCCGTAACGTGCACTATCTCCTGCAAAACCATTCTCTGAAGCTCTGGTGAAATTTAGTGCCCACGTGAGCTGATAAACACTTCGCCCTACCCCTAAGAGGGCAGGACGTTTCCATGAAAACGAGACTAAAGATGTCGCAATGAAGGGTACAAATATCATGTAAGCGACACGAAAAGAAGAGAAATTGCAAATGGCGGCGGTCTGCAGACCTGGGACAGAATGAAACTTGTGGACAGTACTATTCGTAGCTTTCGAGTTGCAAAAGTATTTCGAGAAAATAGTGACCGAATCAATCATGTTAATTTCTCACCAAATGGAGAAACTCTGATCACCAGTAGTGATGATGATTCCATAGTTATTTATGACTGCCTCGAGGGAAAGTGAGCACGAACTTAAGCAAATTTCAATTTAACTCCCAAACAAAAGAACGACTTCACTTTATTGTTGTCATGGTAGATTCCTTAAGTTTAACACCTAAATTCAATTGTTTGTCGCTTTATAGGCCGAAAAGAACCCTTTACAGCAAGAAATATGGTGTGGCGCAAATCCAGTACACTCATGCCACAAACACGGTGATTCACACTTCGACTAAGGTTGATGGTAAGCTACAGCAACCAGCTATCTTAAGTTTTTCATTCTTAAGATAAAAGTTACAGCTATTCTGACTCAGAGACAGCTATTACTGATTTAGGCGAGCCAGACTTTAAAATCTCATCAGGTCTAACAAGTAAAACCGAAATTACAGCACATTACTAATTGCATAAATACATACAAAAATTGTCATTATAACAAAAATATCAGAAAGATGAGGAGAGTTTATAGCCTAAGATTGAAAAAAAACTAAAACAAAAACAAAAAGGCAAAAAAACAGATCAAAACAAGAGAAACATTTTTAAACTGGTAATAGATACCCCTATCTTACAGTGGTTGTGGCATTTGTATATTTGCAGCAATGGATACAACAATGAGGAATAATAAATTTAGGTGTCAACTTAGTGGTTAGTTTGGTTTTATCGGCTTAGCAGTGGATGAAAGAACAAGGAATAAAGAATATACATGTTGAGTCTTAGGTCTTTTTATTTGGTGGAAATGTGCCAAATGAATCCCCCTTACACTGTCCTCCTTTCTCTTATGTTCTGGCATCTTTCTGAATTTGTGGGAGCCTACAATCAGAATCTTGGATTATTCAGGGACTTACTGCTGCAATAGTGCAGAGATCAGACTTCTTTTGGGACTCTGTTCACTCATACTTTAAATCTTTGTTTTCAAAAAGATCAAGTGCTATTCCAACTCTTCTGTGATTTTGTTCCATACAACAGACACTATCCGCTATCTCTCTCTTCATGACAACAAATATCTCAGATATTTTACAGGACACACAAAGAGGTAAGGATTTGAATTTAAAAAACCCTTGCATTTTTAATTTCCGTCTTTTTGTTTAAGTTTGGTACCAGGTGTCATTTTGCGGAAACTTATGCTAAGTGTTTACTCTCAAGGGTTGGTATGGTACATATTCTCTCTCATTTAAAATTTTTTAAACCAGTGTAGTCCTTGGTTTGCTTCATCTCAGAGTATAGAAATTGATTTAAAATAAGGGAAAGAAGAAATATAACTGGTTTCAAACAATTTAAGCTGACAGAAAATCTTGACAACAAGTAGTATGTTTATGACCAGAAGGTGACAATAAGACAGCCCACAAGAGCTAAAACAAATAGTTGTAGTGCACTATTTGTTTTTGAAGGGAATGGTTGTATAAAACACTGCTGTTCTATATTTGAAGGGATGAATTTTGTTTTGAGATGTCTATTTATTGTAATTCAGTGGTTTCCTTAAGAATTATGTGCAGGCAATTACTAAGTGTGAACTTTCAAAATGTATTATTTGTGGATAGTATAATTTGAAGGAAGAGAAGTTAAAAAGTAACGAAGATTCTATCAAGTGCTTCCTTCTTCTATAAGTATTGTTGATAATGTGAAGTGACAGCAAATTGACAAATAAATTGTATCTGATATCAACACAAATAAGTGCTAAATGAAGAACAGGATCAATAACAGATAAGTGCTATTATATAATATGACAACAAATTGACAACTAGATTGTATCTGATATCAACACAAATAACTGCTAAATGAAAAACGTGATCAATAACAGATAAGTGATATTATATAATATCAGTTTTTACTGATAGTAACATTGTTGTGTTATTATAGAGTTATGACCCTGCACATGTCTCCTATGGATGACACTTTTGTATCAGGATCATTAGACAGGACTCTCAGATTGTGGGATTTGAGATCCCCAAATTGCCAGGTACCTAAATAATAATAATAATAATAATAATAATAATAATAGTAATAATATATCGATTTTTATAGCGCATTTCCATGAAATGCTCTAATGCGCTTTACAACACTGTGCAGGGGACTTTTCCAGACTGCCCGCGACAGTTTACAATAAATAAAGAAGACATTTTACAGATGCCCCCCTCCTGCCTCATTCCCGGTAACCAGGCCAGACCACATCACAGTAATCTCGTGATGTGGGTTCTTTAACTTCCCCTGCTGAAATTAACTAATTGATAGATGCACGAGACAGGACCTCTGGCTTTATGTCCTATCCAAGAAGACAAAGCAATGTGAGTGAAGTGTCTTGCTTAAGGACACAACGTCAAGCCCCGGCCAGGACTTGAACCCAGGCCATCTGACCCAGAGTCCAGCGCACTGACCACTGGACTACTCACGCCTTAAACTGACAATTAAAAAAAAGAAATCACATGAATGAAACACCAATTATCACATAAACTAAACACAAAAATATGATGTTCCTTTTTCTTTTCATTAAGGGACTGATGCATGTGAATGGGAGACCTGTAGCAGCTTTTGATCCTGAAGGTCTGATATTTGCTGCTGGAGTGGACTCTGAAATGGTGAAACTGTATGATTTGAGGTCTTTTGACAAGGTATCTCCTGTAAATATATTGTAATGAAACATACAATGTTAGCCCAACATCCAGTATGTTTGTCTCCAAATATCTGTAAGATGAACAATCATGTAGTTCGATATCTAACAGTTTAGAACAGTTACTACAGTTACCTCAATGTTTTCTTTGTGTACTGTATATAATAATTGTCAAATTTTCAATCCTCAACAAGCTGAGTGACTCTAATTCATTGTTAAAGAAAAAGAATCTAGAGCTTAAAGCTCAAATTGAAGATCTTGCTGAAGAGATCAAGAATCTCAAATCGCAGCTAGGTAACAAAGATGGTGACAAGTCAACATCAGCAGCAGCACAGGCTGAGAGAGACCAACGATTTCCCACAAATGAGCAAGTAGATTTTCAGTCTGTCCAAACTAGAGCAGAAGCAGAGCTCAGGCGGTTAAGTGCTCGTCTTTCCCAAGTGAGTGTGAAAGTTGATGAGGTAAGGAAGGTGATTGATGCCATCGAGGAGTACCGCTTCCAGTACAACATCAAGATTGTAGGAGTACCTGAACTCAATAGTCAGGAAACGGCAGAAGTTACCAGCAAATTATGTGCGAAACTGTTTGCGGAGATAGGGACGAATCTTATGTTACAGGACATAGACATAGCGCATCGAGTGCCACTCAGAAGTGCCGGGAATTTGCCGAAGCCAATCACATGCAAGTTTACAAGGAGATTAGCAAAGGAGGCAGTTATGGCTCGCTGGAAAGATGCTTGTAAACCAAATCCTATTAACCTTGGTCTGCCTGACTGAACGTCCTTATCCTCTGTTCGACTTTTCGGCCACCTCACATCTAAAATGCAGAATGTCTTCTCTGAAGCGAAAAAATTTAAAACTGATTATCACTTTGAATTCTGTTGGGCCAAGAATTCGCGTGTTTATCTTTGCAAGGACCGGGATTCTTACGTGTTGAAGATCAAGGATGTGGAGGATCTACAGAAACTTCTACAATTTGAGTAAATGAAATTTATCTAAAATATGTCTGTTAAGAGCTCTAATAACACAGCAAAACTGCTTCTCAAAGAACTCCCTTGCATGTATTTTGGTATAAACTTTATCCCGATGCATGGCCAATTCAATAATCTTGTACCTACTGTAGCTCCCTTCCAACTTAGAAGTACCTAGAAAATCTCACTAGTTTCCATGAGCTTGACTTATTTAGCCTGAACACAGATAGCAATATCAACCCCGATTTTAACCTTCCTAATTTAAAAATACGAAGCCAATATTATTCTCCCCACAGTTTTTATGTAATGAAAAATGGCTTGAATGTCAATACCAGAACTGGAATTCGGAAGTTTTCTTTATTTCACAACCATGTCAGAAGCCTGAAACGAAATTTTGAAAATTTAGAAACTCATCTTTTAAACAAACTGGAGTATCTTTTCAGTATTATAGGGATAACTGAGACTAAAATTCAAATTTTGATCTACCAAAACATTTACCATCTCTACCAGGTTATGAATTTGAATTTGTTCCATCACCTCTTTCCGCTGGAGGTGTTGGTGTGTACATTAGGGACAAATTTAAGTGCAAGATAACAGAAAAAATGTCACCGGTGCCTTCCAAGTTCTGTGGGTGGAGTTTCTCTTTGAAAAGAAAAGCAATATTATCTGTGGAATAATCTGCAGACAGCACAATTCCCCAGAGAGCTTTCAGCCATATTTTGATGAAGCCCTCGAGAGATTTAGTCAGTCCAATAAGACAGTTTACATAATGGGTGATTTCAACATAAACCTCTTCAATGCCGAAACATGCAATTTCACTAAAGAATTCTTACTCACCTTACAAAGCTACTCGTTTAATGATTGATAAACCAACTAGAATAAGCAGCTCGGCCACTCTAATTGACAACATTTTTGTAAATAAAAATTGTGGAAGAATCACAAGTCACAACATTATCTCAGACATAAGTGACCACTACTGTCAATTTTGCTTGACTGAATTCTCCTGCAAAACAATTTTCCCTAAAAAGACCATGGTGCGTGACTTCTCTAGGTTTTCAAAAGAGGATTTTAACTCTGAATTAGCACAAGTCAGCTGGGAAGGGATTCTTGCAAGAACAAATGAAAATATTGATATCTCTTTTTCAAAAATTTACAACAAACTTAACAAACTGTTAGATAAACATGCTCCCCTTAAACCTCTATCAAAGTGAAAACTCAAGCAATCCTTAAACCCTGGATTTCCAAAGGAATAATCATATCTATAAAAATCAAGAATGCTCTATTCGCCTCAAGGGATACCGACAAATACAAATTCTATCCCTAATTTTTCTTAGTAAAAAGCTCTATTATCACAAGTATTTTACACAACGTATGAACAATATGAAGTGTAATATTCTTGATACGAAAACACGATGGATTTTGATAACAGTTTTAATAATTTAAAAATACAACCTCTTTACAAAACGATGCTCATGTGTTCTCTACATGTGCATGTCCGTAACGTGTAATACCGCTGATCATTACAACTTCCCCCAATGAAAATGAAAAGAAGAAAAAATGAACACAACAGAGTGTATGCACACTAACACCAAATTGAGAAACGCTGGGCAGTGAAACGAAATAAAAAACAAGAACTTATTAAAAGTGCGATATTTCCTCTAACTTAAACTTGTTAGAAATGTGTACAAAGTCGTTAAGACAAATGTTTGGCACAGTGGTCCCACAGTTTCATCAAACATCAAGACGTAAGATGTGTTTATTGTTATGCAACATAATCCTTGAAACGTAGAGGCCTTCTCACAGTTCTTCCACTTGCTGTCTTGCGAGGCTCTGGGATCTCATCCTCAAATGAATCAATTTCCTCTTGGTTGAGACATGTTGTAGTGGGTCTTTCAACAAGTGGGATTGCTTGGTCTGCTGTTTCCTTGGAGGGTGAATGTTCATAAGCTCTCACCATTGAAGAATCAGTATTAGGTGAGATGTCAGTTGTTGATGGACTGCTTACTGGTGATTTCATCAATCCTCTTCTACTTCTACGGTACTCTTTACCCTCATCAGTTCAAATCCTATAAGATCTCGGTGTTCCAGCATGATCTGTTACAACGCCCGGTTTCCAATGGCTTCCCATTTGCACTCTGATCCAGTCACCTTTCTCTAACGTGGGGAGATGTTTGGCATGTTGATCAAAATAGTGCTTTTGTTTTTCTTGTTTGAGCCTCAGTTTTTCCATAACTTTGTGTGAATCAAGGACTTTAGGCTGGAGCTGTGCGTCAGTTGTGGGAATTGTTGATCTGAGTCGTCTGCTCATGAGTAGTTGCACTGGTGAACCAGTGTTATCTATTGGGGTGTTCCTGTATTCAAGTAGTCCTAAATAGGGATCCTGGCGATCTTGCTTAGCTTTGGTTAGTCGATTTTTCACTATTTGAACTTCTTTCTCAGCAAGACCATTGGCTTGGGGATACTGTGGACTGACAGTTTTATGTTTGAATTCCCACTGTTGAGCAAACAGCGAAAAGTCTTTTGAGGAATACTGGGGACCATTGATGCTGATCACTTCAGATGGTATTCCATGTCTGGCGAACATGGATTTGGGGAAGGTTATGACTGTAGTACTTTTGGTGTCTGGAAGCTTGGCTACTTCAAAATATCTTGAGTGATAGTCAACAATTATCAGGTATTCAGATTTGTCCCACGTGAACAGGTCTGTGGCTACCATTTCCCAGGGCCTGGTTGGTATGCGCTGAGGTATCATTGGCTCTTATGTGTTTCGCTGTTGATGCTCTAAACAAATGGTGCATCTTGCTATCATGTCGCTGCTTTGAGAATTCATTCCTGGCCAGTATAGTACATCTCTTGCTCGTCGTTTGGATTTTTCCATCCCCATGTGGCCTTGATGCATTTGTTGGAGCATTTCTTTTCTCATAGAGGATGGGATCAATATTCTGTCATTTTTGAGAGTAATACCATCGATTTCAGAGAGCTCATCTCTTACATGCCAGTAGACTTGAATATTTGCTGGCATGTGAGACTTTGTTTTTGGCCATCCAAATTTGATCATTTCGTTCAGCTCTTTCATTGATGGATCATTTGCTGTGGCTTCTTTAATTTCTTCTAGTTTTGGCTTCGAGACTGGTAAGTTAGAAGTTAGTAGGTGGACATGTAATGCAATTTCTTCTTCCATGCTGCCAGAAGTGGTCTCGGGAAGTGGTGCTCTGGAGAGCATGTCAGGAAGTACTAACTCTTTTCCTGGTTTGTATTCCAATGTATAGTCATACTTCTGCATTCTTAGTAGGATTCTTTGCAGTCTTAGTGGTGCTGATGCCAATGCCTTTTTAACAATGGCCTCAAGGGGCTTGTGATCTGATTCTATGGTGACTTGCTTGCCATAGGTGTATTGGTTGAAACGTTCTAGGCTGAACTGAATAGCTAAGAGCTCTTTTTCTATTTGAGCATATCTTGATTCTGCATCCGTGAGGGATCTTGAAGCATATGCAACAGGACATCCACCTTGTAGTAGCACCCCTCCTAGACCAGTTGGGGAGGCATCACAGCTGATGGTAACAGGTTTTTGAAGATCAAAAAATCTCAAGACTGGCCCTCCATCTTTGGTTAGGATATTTTTGATTTCTTGTAGTGCTTTGTCTTGTTCATATGACCACTGAAATTCGATGTCCTTTCTTAGCAGAATTCTGATAGGCTCAGTGACGGTTGCCAGATTGGGAATGAACTTGCCCAGATAGTTGATAGTTCCAAGGAGTCTTTCTACTCCTTTTTTATCAGTTGGTGCAGGCATGTCGTTTATGGCACACACCTTTTCATCATCTGGTTTGATTCTTTCTTGTGTGAGTTTGTGACCAATGTAGGTGACTTCTTTGACTTTGAAAATGCACTTTTCTTTGTTTAGGGTTAGGTTAATCTTCTCACATCATTCCAGGACGGCTTGTAGATGATGGTCATGTTTTTCTTCTGTTTCTGCATGCACTATTATGTCATCGATGTCGGTTTCAACTCCTTCCAAGTTGCTGAAGTGT